ATCAAAATTAATTAATTTTATGTTATGTGATTTTTAGAATGTTTATTTGAATTTTTGTGAATCTTCTGATATTTTATTTTTGTCATTTGGATATATAAATTAAGAGAAATTAATTTTCCAATGTTTTAAATAAAATATAAGATTTAAAAATTTTATATATAAAATAAAATATTTTCTAAAAATATATGTGACCTCCATAAAATATAGGGTCCAAAATTTGAAAACATGTGGATTGGGTGGGGCTCAAGGTGGCCACCAAAAGGGTGGCACAGCCCCACTCATTTGCGTATTCTTCTTGGGAAGAATATTTATCGTTTTGGCTGGCTTATCTTTTTAAGTATAGGCAACTTATGTGATAAGGTTGATTATTTTAGATATTTACTAAATCTTTGTATTAAGATTGGTTTATCCAATAATTAATGATTGGATATATTAAATTATAAACTTTTCTTATTCGATGAGAATAGATTTAGGGAAGGGAGGATAACATTGTAGCTCATCTATTTGAATCTTGATGGTGGATCAAGGAGATGGATGGCTCAAAACCCTCACTCCATAGGTCTCCCTATATCGACAGTTGAGATTTGACTCTACGAATTAAGACAAAATCTATGGCATAGAAAATATAAAAGGAGGTCTCCCCTCATAAAATTGCCTACATATTTTATTTTCTCTTTAAGAATTCTTTCTCCCTACCCAAAATTTAGCTCTCTAGATTCCCAAAAGGGGAGGCACGGCCCAATTTTTTCTCTCTCCAAGTTGTTTTGGGTGGCATGCCCCAATTTTTTATCTCCCTCCAAGTTGTTCTGGGTGGTTGGTACGCATAAGCCTACGTGGTGTCTTTTTTTGTGGGTGGCAAAGGGGTGGAACCCCTTGTTAGTAGATCTCTCCTTTTGATATCCATCTCTCATCTCTCTAAAATCAAGCTAAGAGGTTTGATCAAGATTAAGCCATTGCGTGGATTTTTGCCATAGTAGGAGTGGATTTTTGCCATAGTAAGGAAATCAACATACCGATCATAGATCCTGAGCACCACCGAGCACCATTGGAAGCACCACCAAGCACCATTGGAAGGAGGAGACTCGGGGTGGGGTGTACTAAGCCCGGTTGAGGTAATCTCCGGCAATTTTACATTTTTTAAATATTTATTTATGTTTTGGTCTTCTCTTCCTATAAAGCAATAAAGTCTAGTTTTTCCCATAAAGCAATAAATTCTAGTTTTTTTTGTTGAATAAAGAATTGTATTTGAAGAGGTAGCAATTGAGAACCAATTTTATATTATTTTATTTATTTCAAGAGTGGTTTGATTGTAATTGGACATTGTAAGTGATCTTGTCGGTGTAGGAATAAAGAATATTTTTTAAATATATACACCGTTCTTTATCATAAAGTCCTTTCAATAATCTCTCACCCTTTGTTTTATTTTTATTATAATTTTTTTTTCTCCCTGCATCAGTTGGTATTAGAGTCCTAAGATCCATATAGAGAGCTTTGAGATCCGTGATCTAATTATGGAAGATGTTCGAAGAGAAGTTCGTGACATCAATGAGCGGTTGCAGCAATTGGATCAAAGATTTGATATAGACTCAAAGAAGGCCTAGTAGAGCGCATTAGCGAAGTAGTAGAATAAGGTCTACGAGATTTATTTCATAGATTGCAATCGGAACAAGAGGAAGAAGAATATGAAGAGGTGGATCTTGATACAAAAGGAGACACTGATGTGCAAGAAATTTTGAATATCAATTGTGATGAAAACGAAGAAATTTTGAAAATCAAATATGAAAAAGAGGATATGTGTGATGCAATATTCAAAATCCAACCCTGTCAGTCTAAAGGAGAAATCAAGATGGACATTGAGATTTCAGTGTTCTACTTCGACATAAGCACAAAGCCTTTGATGAATGAGTCAGAAATTGAAGAAAAAATACTAAGGAGAATGGTGATACTTCATCACCAATTAGTAGAGAGTGATTGTGTCATACCCTAAGTTTTATAACACACTAAAATTCATTCTTATTTTAAGCTATGAAATAGACTTTGTATAAATTTGAAAGTTTTTTAATGGAGAATTTGTTTTTGGAGCAATATATAGTAAAAATTTTCGAATTTGTTTTGCTTTAAGAATAGACTATCACATCTCAGGAATTTTAGAGTTATAAAACTTGGGGTGTGACAGATTGGCTTCAAGCTTGAGGTCGAGCTTCTTCCGACCCGTTGAGAATGAGGTCGAGTTGCTCCTGATCCGGTGAGAATGATGCAGATGAAAATTAGGAAAAATTCAGAATTGTAATTTTATTATTTTTTGAATTTATCTTTTTAGGAATGGGTAGCATGAGTTTTTAGGAAAGGTAAATCTTGGTGTGAGTTGGTTTTTTTTAAGCTTATCTTAGATTTACTGAGAGATTTAATGGGATTTAGATATAAGAAGGATATGGGGAGTACACAAAGCTAGGGGAGTTTCCTTGATTCAAGGGACTCCACATGACGGGTAGAGCACGTGAGGAAAGAGAGAACATAGGGAGATAAAGAGAGAAAAAATAGGGAGGGAGAGGAAAACATGGAAGAGAGAGAGAGAGTTAATTTTGTTTTGTTCTCAGGCTTAGTTTATTTTTCAATAAAGTCTCGTGCTTAGCACGAGCAGCTGTTGTTTAGGTAGTATTGTTCACTTGTATTTAGGAGTCTGTTGCTTAATGTTAGGAGTTGTGGTAGACGGTTTCTAATGGGGTCTCCATGATACGTGTGGGTAGTTGTCGTAATGGGTCACATTCCTGTTATATAGGGATTGTGGATAGAATAATCAGGGAGGTGGTAGAGGGTTAGTAGGGGGCTATAAATATCTCATTGTAATGGGGAGAAAGGGGATAATTATCAATATCTTGTGCCCGTGCCCAGCACTTCAGGTGGTTTAGTTTCCCTCAAAGAAACTACTAATTGTCTCTCTCGTAAATCTCTTTTTATACTCTATCTTGGGTAAAACGTTCCTCCCAAAATAGGTAAAAGTAAGAACAAAGGGGTGTCTCGCGAGTTAAGATATCTAGCCCAGGATTTTGATGTAAACACTTTGAACAAACAACAACGTCAAACTCGCTTAGCAAGTCGAGCCCATAACAATTTGGTATCAGAGCCAAGCATGGCGGATCAACGCATTGAACGTTTGGAGTCCGAGATAGGAAGCTTGAAGGCAGATCAGGAGCGAAGCTTCAAGGACATGCTGGACTCCATACAACAGATGTTCGCTGCGATCAATGCCCGCCTTGATCAAGCGAGGAACAACCGCGAAAATGGTGAATCTTCCCACACAGGGAAGACACATATGGGACCATTTCCGAATGGCAGTTCGGGGTCCGTTGGAACCTACCTTCCGGGAATGGTCAAGTTGGACTTTCCCAAGTTCAATGGGGAAGAAGACCCCACTAGTTGGGTATGTAGAGCCAACCAGTTCTTCGAATTTCATCATACATCGGAAGAGGATTGAGTTCCCCTTGCGTCATTCAACTTAGAAGGTGATGCTCAGCTGTGGTATTAGCTGACAAAGGAAGAGAGTGGGATTGCCTCTTGGGATGACTTCAAAAGGAGCCTCCATGCACATTACGGCCCAACCCAATTCCAGGATTTTTTTGGTGATCTCACAAAGCTGTAGTAAACTGGGTCTGTATGAGAATATTAGACTCAATTTGAGCGTCTGTTGATACGGGCAGGACGATTAACACCATTACAGCAAGTGGGGTGTTTCATAAGCGGAGTCAAAGAAAGCATTAAGATGGATGTGCAGGCTTGTCAACCGGCAACTTTGACTGCGGCAATACGACTCGCCCGCCTTTATGAGCATCGCTAACTGAACACCAAGAAGGCAGTGCCTAACGAACCAAGGAAAATTGGCACCAACCAGTCCAGCTCGAGTGGGTCTTTCATGCCAATTAAAAGGCTGTCTCTAGCAGAACTCAGTGAACGGCGTGCAAAGGGACTTTGCTTCAATTGCAACGAAAAGTTTGGCCCTGGCCATCGTTGCAAGAAGCTATTCCTCATCGAAGGGAGCTGGCCAGACGAAGAAGAGGAGGCGGAGGCGAAGACAATCATGGCAGACAAGGTACCTGAAATCTCCCTCAACGTCATTTATGGGGCAAAGGCTCCATAGACCATATGTGTTCAAGGAAGTTTGGGCCAACAAAGGGTAACTTTTCTAATTGACTCTGTTAGTATGCATAATTTTTTGAATAATGCTATTGCACAGAAAATGGGCCTAAATCCTAGCAGTAAAGGAAAGTTTAAAGTGGCTGTTGCCAATGGTGAAAAGCTTTCTAGTTCTGGACGCTGCAAGGCTGTATGCATGATGCTGCAAGGAATCCCTCTGGTGGTGGATCTTTATCTGTTACCGTTGGAGGGTTGTGATGCGGTTCTCGGAGCGCAGTGGCTGAGCACGTTAGGCTCAATCACATGGGATTTTTCCAAATTATGGATGGCATTTACTTTGAATGGGAAAGAAGTCTCATTGCAAGGATTGAATGGCTATAAATATCTCATTGTAATGGGGAGAAAGGAGATAATTATCAATATCTTGTGCCCAGCACTTCGGGAGGTTTAGTTTCCCTCGAAGAAACTACTAATTGTCTCTCTTGTAAATCTGTTATTATACTCTATCTTGGGTAAAACGTTCCTCCCAAAATAGGTAAAGTAAGAACAAAGGGGTGTCTCACGAGTTGAGATATCTAGCTCAGGATTTTGACGTAAACATTTTGAACGAACAACAACGTCAAACTCACTCAGCAAGTCGAGCCCATAACAAATTTTTGTGGTTCTGTTATTTATTTAATTATTTATTTATGTCGAAGTTTATTTAAAGGGCGATGTCCCTTCATTGTAAAAGATCTGGGAATGATAGAATGAGAATTGAGTAAATTTGGTCATGTTAAAAGATCGTTTTTTGGGTGGATTCCCTTGCAGACGTGAGAGAGGGTATATTCTCTCGTTGGGGGTGGATTCTGCAGACCTTGAGAGAGGGTATAATCTCTCACCCTTTGTTTTATTTTTATTATAATAATTATTTTTCTCCCTGCATCACAGGGACTCAAGAACTCATGGTTGTATGTCAATTCTTTTTCTTTTCTCATAAACATTGATATGATCTATTGTAGATAAAATTTTCCTTTGATTCTATTTTGTTCGTTTGTTGTTGCAGTATTAGATTAGATTCATAAGTTCAATTGGGGTCGTATGTGGTATTATACTATGTTGTTGGTTAGTATTGTTTGTTTCATTTTAGGGTGGATAATATGGTGAAGCCTGCACAAGTATGTATGCAAGCTCTAACTCATTTCAATAGAGAAAGTGCTCTCTATATTGAACTCCATGCTGAGGTGTGTGCGCTGTAGCTGAGTGTTTGTTTATATGAGCTTTCACACAAATGATACCTTCATCTTCTTCAAAAAAATGCTACGGCTTGTATCCTCATGGGGGAAATATGCCCCTTGTCATTGGTGCTCATATTGCCCTCACACTGCACATTTAACATGAGAAATGCTTTTCATACTTCATTAAACTCTTACCGCAGCTTCATTTCAGAAATAAATCTATTGTTTATGATCTTTGACCAGCACAATGCATTAGAGCCTCAACTTCAGGTCACTTAGCTTCTATATGTCTTCTATTCAATTTGTTCAGGAAGGATGAAGCAATTGACCATTTTGCTAGTGGGCTTAAAAGTAAGCTCTGGGTTTTGCACATACTCCTTACCTCGCAGGATGATTTTTAATCCGCAAGTGACACATACTTAAGGCATTTGGTCCCACGTTACAATTCTGGCGTTTTAAACAAGATGAGGCGAACCTTAGGATTCCATCAATTGTTTGCAGAGATGGGTAAAAGCTCATTGCTGTTGTTTGTCTCATGTTCAACAAGAGATCCATATTTTTGCCTCGCCAAGTGTATCTCCAATTCTCATTTAATGGGGAAATGTGTGTTCAATATATATGTGTGTTTAACTTCCCAAAAGATTTTTTCTCTTACTTTTTTTCGCTTCTTGGAGCATGATATTTGAGGGTGTCAAAAGTGCATCAAGTTGTATAAAAAAGTGTCAAAAGTGATATTTGAGGGTGTCATAATGACTTTCATTGTATCTTGGTTTGAAAATGAATATTCATGATTTTTTTTGAACTTTGCCAATTTTTTCTTAATATTTGTTAAAAGTGTGGATGCTTAAACATGCTGGCTTTTCTTTGGCAGAATGACTCCAATGATTAAAGTCATCTGCTTTATAGAATGCTCTGGGGTGAGTGAAAAATGGTAGGTTGCCCATGTCTTCTACTTTTTATTTACTTTTTTTTCACCAAGTTTACTGGAACACTTTGGAGCTATATATATATAGGGTGCGGTTTATATAGAGCCTAGGTAAATTAGAGCATACCTTCAAATAGTGTCGAGAAATGTGGTTTCAATATTGAAAATCATTTTGATAGCCTTAAAATATATTTTCATTTTTATTTCTAAATTTTAAAGCTTCAAAAATAGTGTAGATCGATATATCTATGAAAACTTGAAAATCTTGAAAATTGACATTCAAAAAATGCATTACAAAATACACTGTTTTCAAAACTTGAAATCCATTTTTTTATCATGTCTATGCATCTTGATGGCGAGAGGATCAATTTGAGGATATTTGGGCATCAAAACAATCTTTTCTAGTGAAATTTTTGAAGTAGGCTCTAATTTGATTGTTCAGAGCTTCGGCTCTATAAAAACTTTTCCATATATATATATATATATATATATATATATATAGTATGA